TACGCTTCCGTAACCTTAAGTACGCAGTAGCTGCGGAGGTTATCTTGTTTCTTTTACTGCACACCTACCTTAACAATACCAGCCGATCAAAGGTCATTCCGATTGAACATGGACGTTCAGGATTTAACGCACGACGATTATTTTGGCGCTATATTGAGGCAAGCCGAAATTGCCGCGAATAGGGCAAGTCAAAGGAAGGGGGAAACCGTGCAAGATCATCCCCCCCGCCAGTGGTTGATCTCAAATTTTATGATGAAATTACGCTTGTCACCGTTCACGGGACACACTATAGCTACTTCACAAATTCCTGCGCCATATACCCCTTGTGTACGCCTATTCGACGAGCTTCGACAAATAAATATCTCAGACATGAAACTCGAAACTCATCATCGCGGAGCTAGGATTGTTGTTCGTATCTGCACACCACCGCAGCGTATGACGGCCGTCATGGCAATTGTTGAAGATGAACAGAGTACGGCTGTATTACTCCAATTGTATCATCAGCCAACCGAACTTGTGGTGCCTGCCGACGAGATAATGCAAAAGGGAGGTGTCTTGGTTCTCAAAGAGCCGTTTTTCAAATGTTGTACTGACGGCGCCTATTCGCTGAGGGTTGACCACGTCAGCGACATCATCTGGCTGGATGGAACGGAGGAGTGTGTTCCGTCAAAATGGAGAAGACCAAAATCGAGGTCGAAAGACAGTACAAGTATTCGGGTCGAGGGTAATCAAGCCGTGACAGAAAGCAACTGGGCTGCGGCGCATCGTTTGTGAGTGCCTTTCACATTATACGCTCGTCGTCGTCGTCCATCCGACCCGCAGTCGACCCTGCTTCATTGCTCAAAGCATGACAATTCATTATGAGAACTTCTTTCTGAAACACTTTCTAGATACACTTCCGCAATAAAGGCTGCGGTGGCAGCCGATGATGAACGGCTTGCGTACCTAAATCGCTCGCTTGCAAACCTTAGGCTTGGTCACCCAGAAAAGGCATTATCGGACGCTGTCCGGGGTAGTCATCCTGGGTTAACGTCGGAGAAAGGCCTGTTTCGTCAAGCTAGAGCGCTTTACGAGCTGGGCGAGTTTGGTCGTTGCATGGAACGGCTGAATCAACTTTTAGAATCACATCTTGGCAATGAGGACGCCCACAAGGAGTTGATTCGTGCCAAGGCAAGGCTAGACGAGCAACAGAGCGGCAAATATGCTTTCGGTCATTTGTATAAGCAAGCTAGACGCACTCCTCCACTTCTGGAGTTCGCCACATACTCTCTCATTGTGGAGGTACGAAAGTCGCCTGGTCGGGGTCGTGGCCTTTTTACGACCAGGGCAGTCTCTGCTGGCGAGGTATTACTCTGCGAAAAAGCATTTGCATATAGCTATGCGGGCGATGATGATGCAGCAGACCAGTCCCAGATGTTGATGAACCTTAGCACCAAAAGAATGACAGTGGGCGGCCAGGCTCGCCTGCTGACGCAAATAATCCAAAAGCTGTATCACAATCCGCAGATGTCGAGTGCTTTTAAAGATCTACATCACGGCGACTACAAAGCCGTCGGAGTCTCTGAAGCTGACGGTACTCCCGTGGTAGACTCGTAAGTTTTATCGGCCTCTTCCAACTAAAGAAAACTGACGGTGCTTATTATCTCGGTTAGATTCCTCGTGGAGAAGGTTATATCTCTTAATTCCTTCGGCGCACCGAGAAGTACCTTCTCTACTTTTTTCGAATTGTCAAAGAGGAACACAGCTGAGGAACACAAAGAACGGACGTACACAACGTGTGGTATTTGGCTGCTGGCCTCTCGCGTCAACCATTCCTGTGTCGGAAATTGCCGCCGTTCCTTTATTGGAGACATGCAAATTATCCGTGCAACTCGGGACCTGGAGGCTGATACTGAACTCTTCTTCTCCTATCGACAGCCAACCCTGCATGAATCTTACGAAAAGACTCAGCAACATCTCAGAAACTGGGGATTCCGTTGCAGTTGCCCGTTATGCGAAAATAGACAGTTAACGCCGGTAGAAGCAATGAGACGACGCAAAACGCTCAATAAGGAACTTAAAAAGACCCTCGACGCGCGCCTGGATATGGATGTTTGCCGGGCTCAACGGCTTCTCAAAGAGCTTGAGGCAACGTATCCAGATACCGAAGGAAACAAAATCCGTCTGGATCTTTGGGACCCTTACTTTGCCTTGGGCGCCTATCTGCTTCTCGTTGATCGCCAAAGTGAAGCGATTGAGATGATTGCCAAGGGTTTTGAGGCACTGGATTATGGTATTACAGCTTGTCCTCAACGACTTCACATTGAACGGTGGGGTGTTATGAACGATTTTGTGCCATGGGCGTTCGTGAATCTGTTCAAAGCATACACAAAAATTGCGCCTGATTTATGTAAAACTGCCAAGAAGTACGCTGAAACTGCATATAGTATGGTAGTGGGCGAGAGTGAAACGATTCTTGATAAATTCCCGGAGCTGGCCTAACCACCATATATCATCGTTCTGGTCTACACCTGGTTCAAAATGACAGCCTCAAATATAGCCCACAGATTACAGCAAGTCTCATTGTAGACAACATTGTGCCACTGACAAGAGCTAAGGTGCAACCCATATGACGTCTTTGATGTGATGCGGCGAACCAACGAAGTGGGCGGCCAGTCGTACAGTGAGCCATTAATCAGACGCCCATGGTCCACCTTACAACTTGAATTAATAACACAACTTTTTGTCATCAATTTTTCAGCACGTCAAAAAGTACGACATATAATAAGAATAGTAACAGTCTGGCTGGTCATGTAATTATTGAAACCGTGGTCCGCATGGCTATGCCGTCTCTCAATTCATGACTACCTTGGCGTTTGCCGTACAAATAGTGCAGCTGCCTTCCAACCCACATTTGCGCGCTGTTGCTCAGCAGGCTGCCCATTCAACCATCCACTAAGAACTACTGCAGCAAACCAGTCGTTCATCCCCTGCAACCACCTCGCCCTAGCTCGATCCCCAAATTAAATTCCATCTTGGCTCTCTCCAATGTCCTCTTAACTGCACTGCCCACTTTACACGCCTTCTTGCCTTCCCACCGTCTTTCATGGCATACCTCGTAAACTGCTGTCCCTCTCCCCGTCGCTGCACCGTACCCCTCCACCATCTTGCATATCCTAGAGATGCTGATCCCATCGTACGGCGCCCTCGGCCGCGGATATAATTTGCATTGCGTCATTTGTATCAGCAACGCTCCGAGTTGGAACGAGTCGCATTCGGTCGTGCATCCACTGCCATGTCGGAGCTTGTCTGCCACAGAATACAAGCTTTGTATCAGCAGTTCGATCCTGTCCTGTCGATGCTTGTCCACCAAGCCTGAGCGAACCAGCTGTTGGTCTTGGAACCCAGCATTTTAGAGCAAAATGTGCAAACAGGGCCTAGACGAAGACAACCGCCTGGGACCACTCACCAACTACTCTTTCCTCAATTGGCAGACCAAGTGTACCAAGTGTATCAAGTGTGCCGGTTCCCTCCTTGATCGCCATCGTTGCCGCCGAGTCGAATATTGGCTTCACCGCAAACACCGTCGACACAAGTAGCCACAAAACCACGTCTCTGCCAAATCCCGATTTCGCAAGCCCTGGGTAGTCCGCAGCCCAACCCTTACTTGCCGACACAAACGCCCGATGGCATCCCAGGTGGTCTACAATCACTGCCATCTTCGCCAGCCCTTCCACCGTGAGACGTTCCGGGTTGAGGTCGGCTTGATGGTGCAGTATGTTCAGCACATATTGCAGCGCTACCGAATCAAACCCTTTCAGCTCTACACGGCGGATCCCTTCGTTGTCAGGCCCCGATGCTTTCCAATCTTCCCAACGGCGATCGAGTGACGTCTCAAGCATTGGCGATACCAGGCGCAGAATATCTGACGAGCAGCGCGCCACGAACTTTCCTGTGTCGCCCTCCCTTCCTTGCTTGTCTGACACGCCGTCGTCGTCTCCTTGTACCCCTTGTTGTCCCCAGGGTGCAAAGGGCTCACCAGAAGGCGTGTGCTCAATGAACACCTTTCCCGAGGGAGCCAACACGACCTCCTGGCACTCACCCATCTCGGAATTCATCTCAGACGACCGTAAAAATATCTAGAATCTCGCTTGCCTGGCTGGTCCACCACCTGACGGACCGAATAGTATCATGCATCAAGTCGGCGGCGCTTGTCGTGGTGTGCTACGTGTACAATGCACATGCTGCTGCTCCTGTGAGTTGATCATGGACGCCCGTGCGCACCTGTGATCCGGGCTTGTCATTCTCAACCGCGTTGCTCCAGCAATCCTGTCCCCCAGCCGCTGCTTCAACGCACTGCCCCTGTCGACACGCGGCTTGTTTGATCACATTTGACCTCACATAGTACGTTTGACATTGCCATTGTCAGCAACATTACTCCCTCTTGTACTGGCTTGCCTCGCACATTTTCCACTGCCACGGCCAGTGCGGGGTAGCTGCTGTCCTTTGTGCCCAGCTCCCCACATGCCAGCCTTGCGGCGTCAGACTTTATCCGTCCACCCACCCGCTCAACTAGTGCCCGTCCACCCGCTTCCCGTCTCACTCCACCACTCCATTCATCTTGCTCTTGGCCACTGCTGGGACGCCGTTTCCCGTGATTTGGACCAGGCGTGCCAACCCGGACAGACACCATGCCTACTGCTTTCCTATTTTACGTCATCGGCCAGCACAAGCCTGGGCGGCCAATACAGATACAGATACAGATTTTATTTCGCCCGGAGGGAAGTCCCTAGAGGGCCTAGGCAGAAAGGCTATTTACGGTTCGATAAATTTGGTACATAACACCTCAAGCCCCACACTTTCTCTTACACTGGTTGGTTCCGCCTCGTCCGTTTTGTTCCTTGACAGGCCTGCTTGAAGGCCATTCCCCAAGTGTTCAGCGTCCTATCCTCAGCAGCTGAAGCACGGTCTGCCAATATTGAGGCTGTTTTATTGTTAGTATGATTTCGTGTACCGGTTCTCTAGTCCGGTGGTCGTTGGTCCCGTACGAGTCTCCCCGTTGCCATCGCAAATTTGATCACTGCTTTCACGGCTCGCATGTCTGGTTTCCATTTGTCATTGTCAGACCGTGCTTTCCCTCCCAAGAAATATGAGAGGTTCCCTATCTTTTCCCCTGAGCAATCGAGTAAGATCTTCCGTTGCGCTGTCCACTTTCTGCATCGAAACAGAAAGTGTTCTACTGTTTCCGATGATTGACCACACTCGCACAGGCTTGAGTCCGCTGCCCCAATCCTGTGGAGGAAGCCGTTGAGCCTTGCCATACCCGTTCGTGGTTGGACTAGGATGTCCGATTCTCTTCTGTTCAGTTGATCATACAATTCTCGCGTATGCTTTCCCGGTAATGCCGTGTCTACCTGTTTCGAGTATTTGCCAACTCCCTCCGGCAGTTTCCTTACTTGTTGTTGGGCCAATTTGGCCAGCCGTAGCTTTGTGGATCTAGCTTGATATGGTTGTACGTCTGATGTCTCCTCGCACATTGCCGTTCTCTTCGCTTCTGTCTTGGCGAGCGCTCTTAGTGTAAAACCTTCGTCCTCCGCTGGCACCCACATGAGTGAAACAGAACAGCCCCTCCTTTGAAGATACTGGGTACGTTCGTATATCTGGCGTATAGTGCACTGGCCCGATTGTTGCCGTGGTCGTCGGATGACTTGTAGTGCCGATCGGTTGCTTGTCATGACTGTCAGATCCCGACGATGGAGCCCTGCAGGCATGCATTTAAGCGCCATCGCAATAGCTGCCAGTTCCGCCGTGTACGGATTCTGTTCATCCCGTGTTCCAATGGTGACGCAATAGCTAGCCAGGACCTCGCCGGGGCTGTTGATCGTTGTGTCACGTACAACACCTCCCATTCCCACCGTGTCACCTTTTTGTGACGAGGCAGTGGCGATGATGATGCCTTTTACGTCGTTTGGTGTCCTGTCTGTTTCCACATAATCATAATGCTCGCCCACTACGGGTATACGATCACTCCAGGGTGGTATTGTATACTCGTGGATTGTCTCCAAGCGTTCCGTGTCAGTCTTTGCCATTGCCATGGCGATTTTCTGCATTGGCGACACGAATCGTCGTTTCGACTTGTATTTCGATCTCGCCAGTGGGTGTGTCTGCGGGAGTGTGCAAACGTTGACCCAGAGCCTTGTTGCCGCTTGGGTGTGTCGTTCCTGGACCGTTTGGATACTGGCTTCTGCTTCGGCCACTGCTGTGGCCACCTTGCTGAAGGCCCCCGTGATCGCCTGTGCACCCACCATCTGCACTCTATTTAGCCATGCCAATTCCTGCGCACCACAGGAGTGCATCCACACACTCGACGCGTAGTCCACGACAGGCGCGACGGTCGACACAAAAAGTTGTCTAGCCGTTCGGGGTGAAAGCATCTTCAATCTCCTCAAGCATAGGGCAGCCGTGAGGCCTTTGGCAGCCGCTCTGGTCATGTGTTCCTTGTACCGCAGGTTCGTGTCCATAACTACCCCTAGGACCTTCACACTACTTTTCGGCTTGACCTCTTTTCCTTTTATTAGGTATGCGTCGTCACTGGACCGCGACGCAGTCCTCGTGAAGTGAATCACGGCCGTTTTGTTTGCTTCAAATGTTGCGCCGCTGCGTGCCTCCCACTTGAGCGCATCGTCAATGATTGACTGAATGCCCGCTCGGTTTTCCTCTGCGGTTGGTCCCGTCACCCAAGCTGTATAGTCGTCCACAAAGGCGATTGAACCACCATTAGCGTTGATCTTTCTTTGCACCAAGTCTGCGTTGAAGAACAGGAACGCTATTGGCGATAACGGTGACCCCTGCGGCAGGCCGGCCTGGGCTAACACCCGGCGTTCAGACGCATATCCATTTACGACCACAGAGGCTGTCCTATCTGAACAGAAGGCGCCTACCCAACGGACTAGTCTGTCTGGTATGCCCCTCGCCTTCATCCTTTCCAGCAGGCGCTCTTTGCACACACCATTGTAAGCGCCTTTCACGTCAAAGCTTATCAAGCTCAGCACCTTTCCGGCCCTCCATGCCTTGTATATGTGTTCCTGCAGAAGCAAGAGCGCTTGCTCAGCTGACCGTCTCTTTCTCGCTCCGAAGTGGTTTGCGGGCAAAAGTCCACAAGCCTCAACGGCGTAGGATATCCTTTCTGCGATAACTGCTTCCATTATCTTGCCTAGTGTTGACAGAAGGGATATTGGTCGCCAGGCCTTAGCTATTGTGTAGTCTCCTTTGTCTGGCTTTTTGAGCGGGATGATCTTGGCGCTTCTCCACTGGTGCGGTACAACACCCTCTCGGAGTGAACAGTCGAAAAGAGTCCAAACTCGGTATTTCACTACAGGCCACACGGTCGCTCTGGACAGCCCCATGAGTGATGAGCCACATCAGTCACACGGTCGGCGGTGGCTGGGGGGTTACTGCTCACGGGGTTCGTGCTGCTGTGCCACGTGCAACACTGCAACATACCGCCCGTGGCTTAACTTTCCAAGCGAGGCACAAGCCACTTGTGGCTGACGCCGTATAATGTTGACCCAGCGACGATTTTACGTACCATGCGCATATCCAGATGCCCAATTGTTTCGTCACAGCCAAGCAAAGTCACCGTTTAACTATGTCAAAGGAGATATCCCTCTATTGAGCGAACAAAACGCCGTCTGCGGCGTCTGCGGCGTCTGTGGCGACATCACGTCTTCACAATACCTGCACGCAAATGAAGCTTCACCATCTTGACGGGAGATAAGGCATCAATGCAGCGTGCAAACCACATTCAAGCACTGATATGCTTGCACCCCCACTTACTTGTCTCCAGAAGGGAGAGGAAGGTGGAAGAAGCGGCCGTTGCAACACACCTTCCACCACCATTGTTACGACCGTCGTGGGTGGCACCTGCGCACCACAGGAGTGCATCCACACACTCGACGCGTAGTCTACGACAGGTGCGACGGTCGACACAAAAAGTTGTCTAGCCGTTCGAGGTGAAAGCATCTTCAATCTCCTCAAGCATAGGGCAGCCGTGAGGCCTTTGGCGGCCGCTCTGGTCATGTGTTCCTTGTACCGCAGGTTCGTGTCCATAACTACCCCTAGGACCTTCACACTACTTTTCGGCTTGACCTCTTTTCCTTTTATCAGGTATGCGTCGTCACTGGACCGCGAAGCAGTCCTCGTGAAGTGAATCACTGCCGTTTTGTTTGCTTCAAATGTTGCGCCGCTGCGTGCCTCCCACTTGAGCGCATCGTCAATGATTGATTGAATGCCCGCTCGGTTTTCCTCTGCGGTCGGTCCCGTCACCCACGCCGTATAGTCGTCCACAAAGGCGATTGAACCACCATTAGCGTTGATCTTTCTTTGCACCAAGTCTGCGTTGAAGAACAGGAACGCTATTGGCGATAACGGTGACCCCTGCGGCAGGCCTGTTAGACGCTAAAGGATGTATGTAAGGTTATGGCGTTTTCAGGCTCCCACTGGAGCGGCGCCCAGGCGCCAGGATAAAATCGGCGCCCGGGCGTCGCGATACCGTTTTAGCGGGCCGCACGTTTCTAATTGGTTGGGTCTTTTAGACGCGAACAGCGCGTTCTACTCGTGTTGTTCAACTCATTTAATTCGAACAAAATTCTAGTGTACCTGATATCATGATGAGTGCCCAAACCGAGACTTCTTCTGCTCTTTCTTCTGCTGTTACACAGGTCGGCATCTTCCCCGAGAAATGTCTCCCGCCGGAGGATGAATACGAATCTCGTGAGGAGCTATTGACAGCGATAAACACCTGGGCTGCAACAAGAGGCTTCGCGTTCATTGCGCGGAAATCTACTACTAAATCGAGTGGGAGGAGAATCGTAACATACGCATGCGATAAGTCCTGGAAGCCCAAGGCCCCGACAGGTGAGGAATCAAAAAGGAAAACAACTGTTCGTGGGACTGGTTGCCCATTTTCGATTCTGGCCAAGGAATCACTAGATAAAACGCGCTGGATTCTGCAACACCGGCCCGATGAGCTACACTCGAAGCATAATCATGCTCCCAGTCATCATCCATCCGCGCATCCTGTTCATCGTCAGCTGGATGCCTCAGGTAAAGCAACTCTGTCGGAGCTCGTAAGAGCTGGAATCTCTCCCAGAGATATTCAGACCTACTTACGCCAACAGAACCCTGCTTCGCTTGCCACAAGACAGGACATATATAACCGTATTGCCAAAGTGAAAGACGACATGCATGAAGGCCAAAGTTCGATTCATGCTTTGATCAATCAACTGGATCGGGAAGGTTTCTGGAGCCGTGTTCGAGTCGATGATGATCAGCGAGTTACTGCCATATTATTTGCTCACCCTGGGTCTCTACATTATCTGCAAGCGTATTCTGAACTTTTGCTGCTAGACTGCACATACAAGACAAATAAATACCAAATGCCGCTCCTCGATATGATTGGGGTCGATGCCTGTCGCCGGTCATTTTGCATTGCATTCGCATTCCTTAGCGGTGAGCAGGAAGAGGATTACGCTTGGGCTCTGGAACGCCTTCGGTCGCTTTATGAAGTATGCGATGCCAAACTTCCTTCTGTGGTCCTCTCGGATCGCTGCGTGGCGTGCTTGAACGCTATTGATGTCGTGTTCCCGGCTGCACAATCCTTGTTGTGCCTCTGGCATGCAAACAGAGCCGTGCTTGCACATTGTCTTCCCATCTTCACGTTACAAGAACAGTTAGCAGCAGGCATAGCAGCAGATGCATCTCGATTGGCAGGCCGTAAATCAGCTAAATGGGCTGAATTCTACAACTTTTGGCATTCTATTATGCAATCGCCCACAGAGGCCGAGTTCAACAAGCTTGTGGCTGCATTTGACGAGAAATACCTTCCACTCCATGCCGAAGAAGTAGCATATATCAAAAAGACTTGGCTCCAGCCCTACAAAGAGAAACTTGTCAAAGCCTGGGTCGATCAGCACATGCACTTTGGAAATGCAGTCACTTCACGTGTGGAGGGAATTCATGCGCTTCTGAAGTCATACCTCAAGACCAGCAAGTTCGATCTTTTCGACGTCTGGAGAACCATCAAGCATGCAGTCGAAAACCAGCTTTCGGAGATACGGTCAACCCAAGCCAGACAACAGACGCGTAAACCAACAGAGCATTTGGGCGGCAGTTTGTTCAGTGCTGTACATGGCTGGGTCTCACACGAGGCAATGAGAAAGGTTGATGAACAAAGGCGGCTACTAGAGAAAACGGATCCCCGTGTTTCCATGGTTTGTAGCGGGACGTTCACCAAATCCCATGGTTTGCCTTGCGTCCATAAAATAAAGCAAATTCTGGAGAGAAATCAAGCTCTTAGCATAGATGACTTCCACCAACAGTGGCACCTCAATCGCAATGAGGGGCGACATCAGCTAATACTCGAACCCATTCGAGTTGAGTCAAGGATACAGAGCCAAGCATGTTCGAACGTGTGGAAGGCCGCTCTGCACCTACGTGCTCAAGATGTCACGCAGTTGGTCATGCGAGGTCATCACGAATATGCCCACTGCGGCAGCAGGAGATAATCCTGGAATCCTCTGTACCACAACTAGCTGAACCAAGAGATGCATCGCTAGCATTAGCCGGCTGGTCTGCTGGCGCTGAAAATGGCTTAGCATGCCAGCTAGAGGAAACAGTTTGCGATACGTCGTTTACAGGGAGTAGAGAGGTGGGTCAACGATTAGATCATGAGATGAATGAAGAATTGAACGAGGAATCGAACGAGGAATTAAACGAGGACCTGGGCTACGCTATGAGTCAGCGAATGGATCGGAAAACAGATGAGGGGGTTCTCATTCACGAAACAAATGAGGAGACAACCCAAGACAGAGTTGAGGATATGATAGTAGTGCAGCTGACGCCACCAACTCTCGACTCCGACTTGCAAACATCGCCGAAGTCCCATGACGCAAATTCACCGAATCGGGAGACCGATGCAATGATACAATGCACTCCGTCAGATGCTACAATAGTAGAAGAGATGCTCTTACCTCATTATGCTCCTGAGTCGATTTATAGGCGCTACATCCTAGCAAGACAGGCCTGGTATGACAGCCAACCCAGAGGCAGTTTGAAGACAAACCAAGCATATCGCAGAGCCATGGGACTTCCACTGAGATACCAGAAAGACTTGTATATATGGTGTCGAGATTACAAGCAAATGGGTCAGCATTGTGTTTCATCTGGAGGTAAAAGACGGGAATGGACTAGAGAAGAGATGATGGCTTATATCGATTGGGATACCGCAGAAGATCGACGTGTCGAAGCGGAGGTCAAGTGGCGGATTGATCGCGATCCCCAGGAAGCCATCAGACGTGGTACAAGGCAGGTGTGGCAACAAGCAGTAGATGATGCGCAGGCTCAGGCAAGACTTTTCTCCCATGATAATTAGTTGTTGTACATTGAAACCTCAATTCACTTTAATTCCCTATAATACAGCTACGCACATGTCCGCGTCTAAAAGACCCAACCAATTAGAAACGTGCGGCCCGCTAAAACGGTATCGCGACGCCCGGGCGCCGATTTTATCCTGGCGCCTGGGCGCCGCTCCAGTGGGAGCCTGCAGAAGAACTGGTTTTGACCGTCGAAGTGTGATTTTACACCAGAATAAAACGGCTGCACGAGAAGTTACAAATAAAATGTTTTGATGCACCAATTAATTACGCTATTGGATATCTTCTGGTATAATTTTTAGTCTGTCATCATTTGTGGTTGGTGGGTGCGCGCCGAAAGACAAATTTTGCTGCAAGTCGAATTTCATTAAAAACGGTCACGCCGCTGCGTCCGCTACTTGGTGGGTACAGATTTCCTTATTCTATTTTCTCTTTGTCCTTTAGCTTCAGATACTTGTTTATAGCACCAGTGAATCATAAACTGCCCCTATTTTCAGGAGCATGGCAGTTGCTTGCCGAGTATGGATCGGCGAAACGATTTGCCAGGGCTGCACCTCCGCGGGGGAATTCGCTGTCAAAGTGAAGCGGTCGGTCAGCAACCCGTGCGAACCAGCACAAGCCACGCAATCATGCATGTGGGGATAACAGACGTTGCAGAGGACGTCAAAGGCAGGCAATGCCATAGTTTTCTCACTGCATTTGCGCTCAATAGGCTGATTATCTAGGGCGGTCAACATGTCGAACGCTTCGAAATACACGGTGGGCTGGATCTGTGCCTTAAATGCGGAATATGTTGCTGCACAAGAATTTCTTGACGAGGAGCATGCCCCTCCAGACTTTGTCTCGCCGAACGATACTAATCATTATACATTAGGGGCGATTGGGAAACATAACGTTGCCATTGCTGTCCTGCCCGATGGCGAGTATGGAACAGCCTCTGCTGCTACTGGGGCAGCCAACTTACTGAATAGCTT